TTTTTTTTTTTTTTTTTTTTTTGGTGATCTCCTTATTTTATTTTATATTTTTTAGTATTGTCTAGTTGTAGGAGTAGTTAAAAATATTTTATTATGATTGAGGGAAGAATTTAGGGTTTTTTAAAGGGTTGTGGTTTGACGTAGCATGAGTATTAGTTGAGGTGGGAATTAAAATAATGATATATTACTCGGGTTCGGGTTTTGAATCTATTGTTGGTCGATCTTTATGTCATGTTTTTTAAATATGGTAAATGGGTTAGGAGTGATTTTGAACGTTAGGGTTTAAAAGTTGTAGTATGTGTTAATTATTGTTGAGTTATGTCATTTTTAACGTGTTTATATCGCGTTATGTGAAAGCTGATGTTTAGGTTTGACGTTTTCATAAAAGCCATCATTTTTTTGGTCTAATTTTGAATATTTTGTCAAATTCTCAACTAATATTAGAGAAATTGTGACGCCCGAGTGTAAATGAGAGGTACATGAATGAACTGAGATCACATCTGAATGAGAGCGATTATGAAAATAGGATGACTAAGAAAAGCTTAAAATAATTAAAAGTTACTGTCTAAATCAACAAGGTGCATCTTCTTTTTCAGTAGCTCAATCTTACTCAATGGTTTGTTTGGAGAGTTCTAGGTTGAAAATTTTCTTAGGATGTACGTGAGTGATGACAAAACATACTAGAATAACTCGAGTTGGTATGTATGGGTAGTTTTTACTTTTGTAACGTGACCATGTCGCACGGAAATGTCAGGGTCATCGATTGTTGAGCCTTATCCAAATTTTGAGCTCGGGGCATTACAAAAATTCTCGATCCAACTATCATACATTTAGTTGAGCTGGATACAATTATTTAGAAGACTTTTTTTCTTTTCGAAAAAAAAAAAACATTAATTTTCAAACAAAAGTACAAATCTTATTTCAACTAAAGAGACCAACTCGGAGCCCTTTCTCGTTTTCACACGCTTCAAATAATAAAAATCTAATTTGAATGCTAACACGAGCATAATTCAGCAATAATGAGTACGTACCAGAGGAAAGTCTTCATTTAATTAAATCTTCAAATTTCTATACTCACATTTATTATACCAAAGAAAATTCCTTTTAAATAAACAAACTCAATTTTTTCAATAGGATAAAAAAAAAAAAAAAGAAATTCAAGATTATAAATATCAACACGTTCAAGATTATTAATTAATATTAAAAATTGGAAAAATTAATGTAATTTTAAAAAATTAAACTATTTGACTAAAATACGCGTAACGTATAAATAAATAAATATATATATATATATATAGTTATTTATTTATTTATTTGTCTTTTTAGTGTGGCTGGTAAAAGCACACGAGGGAGAAACCTAATTGGTCGAAAAATAATAATCAATTTCCCACTATGGTTTTAGTGGTAAATAAAAGCAGCCAAAAAAAAAAAAAAAAAAGTAAAAACGGCGTCGTAGTGAGAACGGTCCAGGAAACTGGCTGCTACTGAAGTAGGACGGTTCCAAGTGGCTTCGTGGCACGTGGGGATTATTATTTAGTTATAAACTCATTAAATTGATTTATTTATTAATTTTTTTTGGAAATTAATAACAGTAAGGTTAATTGAATAAGGACCCATTTGAATTAAATCGTTAATTTTAATGATGTGACATTAAACTTATAATTGCTTCATCACCTAACTTAGGATTAATTTTCCAATTAATCCAACTTTATAGTAAACAACAAAACATGAGTCACATTCATTTTTTATATGGTTCGTAATTATTATTTTTAAATAAAAAATAAAATAAATTGAAATGATTATAACTCATTTAGTTAATTTTTTATTATAATTAATAATTCGATTGGATCTAAATTGCATAATTAAAATAAACCTTTAGATTCTCTCTTTCTTTTAATTAAAAAAAAAATTAAAGATTCTCTTCTTTAATCATTCCTAATTTGCTCATACATTCAATTTTGGTTCAATTACTTTATTATTATTTTAATATTTTAATTATTAAAATAATAATAAAGTTATTTGAAATAATGAAAAGATAAATTATTGAGTAATTTAAGGTGGCTAATGTTTTTATTTATTTATTTTGATGGCTAACATATTTTAATACGTGGCATTATAAATAGAAACAACAGAGACTCCACGCACTAGAGGACATGGCCCACAAATAAATAAATAAATAAATAAATAAATAAATAAAGTACTGTCGGCCTCTTGTAATTTTTTTTTTAATAATTATATATTATATTTAAAAAGAAAATTCATTTTAATAAAGCTAGTATGAATAATATATTGTATAGCCGTGGAAACTAAGGTGTAGATATAAATTAATGTTCGTACGAGAATCTAACAATTTATAACTAAATTATTCTTTTCTTTTCCTCATAAATATAACAATATTATAATTGGGTTTGAGAATATATTTTCATAAAACTAAATACAAAAATTATTATTATTATTATTATTATAATAGTATTTGTATTTATATTATATTAAACCAGGTCTATAGATGAACATAGTATCTGATTTAAGGAATGATATTAGAGCCAGACACGAATGATGTGTCAGTCTTCTTGCTGTTCTCTGAAAGGGGTAGACACAAGGCGGTGTGCCAGTAAGGACGCTAGGCCCCAAAAGGGAGTGGATTTTGGGAGCGGTCCCACATCGATTGGAGGAAGGAAAGAGTGCTAGCGAGGACACTGGGCCCCGAAGGGGGGTGGATTGTGATGTCCTATATTGGTTGGGGAGGAGAACCAACCACCATTTATAAAGATGTGGAAACATTCCCCTAGTAGACGTGTTTTAAAGCCTTGAGGGGAAACCCAAAAGGGAAAGCCCAAAGAGAACAATATCTGCTAGAGGTGGATCTGGGTCGTTACAATCCATCAAACCCTACTCGTTATTAACAAGCCTAAGTTGGAAAAAGCACGAGACAATGCAATTTTGTGTATTTTCATTTTGTGGAAGTCCTCGACAGAGGAAAGAAAGGGTTGTTAGGTGATGACACGTTCTGCTTCGTTAAAATAACTAAAATCTCATAAAACTCAAATATCAAACATTCACAAGTCACAACACATCACTAACATAGATTACAAAATGGTGGTTAGACGGTAGATGAACCAACAAAAAAAAAATATAACACTTGAATCGATAAGAAATTTTCAATTTTTTAAAAATTCAACCTAACCCAAATTGAAAAACTGAGTTAGATAGTCCGGGTTAGTGTTATCGGGTCATATGAACGCTCGTATTAAACGTGTCAAAATAATATGACTAAAATGATTAATTATTTGAAAGTTTAACGACTAAAAAAGATCGTTTGAGAATAAGATAAACTCATAAAATTCATAAACATGCTAGATGAGCGATAATAGTACGAGAGATCGAGTTCATATTAAGCGTACAAAGTGAAGTCAACTCTCCAACGAAGTCAAATGTTCGAATCTTTGATGGACCTGTATTGAAGTTAATGAATCGCGATTTATTGATGAGTTGAAAAGTCAAAGAACGTGGCCAATAATTTAATTACCAAATTAGTAAGAAAATGAAAAAAAGTAACATGATTGGTCGGAGAGTCAACGTTTTACATTGGTCTTTGGTTTGACTTTGACTAACCATTGGGAAGAAGACAAGAAATATAGAGCACACTAACCTATTGTCCAATTTATTGTCTCTCTCATTGATTCTTTTTTCATCCAAAATTTCCATTCCTTTCACTTAAAATTTCTCCATTTCATTTCAGCCACGAAAAAGGACCCATCCATCATTTTCCCCTTTCCACACCTTATAGAAAACGAGAGCGGTTTAGATCATATATACATACACGAGTTCTTTTAACATGATTTGAAATGGTTTTAAGAGTGAAGACTATCCTTATATCCCCACAAATCAACACGAATTTTTTAAACATGATTTGTCTTAACTCGTGTTTTCTTATGTGATCCAAGTAAAGGAGAGGTGCATGAATGAACGAATTGTTGAGGATTATTGGGAGTGAGTTCCCACGTTGGTGAGTTTATAAGTAAGAAATACTATCTCCATTGGGATGAGACATTTTGGGGAAGCTCAAAGCAAAGCCACGAGAGCTTATACTCAAAGCGAACAATATCATACCATTGTGGAGATCCGTGATTTCT